GTTGCCGCTCTGCTTCGCCGACTACGGCGTCGAGGCCCTGGGCGAGCAGGCGCTGCGTCGCCGTCGCCTGCTGCTGCTGCTGGGCGCGGGGGGCCCGCTGCTCTACGGTCTCTACTGCCTGGGCAGCTACCTGGGCGTCCAGGTGCTGCTGGCGCACGCGGGCGCGCTCATCTGCCGCGGCCTCGACTACTTCAGCAGCCTGTGGGTGAGTGCGTGCGTTTTGGGGGTGGCGGGACCCGGGACGCCCGCGAGCAGGCGGCCGAAGGTCCTCCACCGGTGCTCCAGTAAGCGCAGATGACCGCCCTCCTTCCCACGCCCGGGAATCTTGGCGCGCTTCCTTTTAGAGAAGCGGGTGTGATTGGAAACCGGCCCACTTGTAGGGAAAAGGTCCCTTGGCTGAGAAGTGCTGACCCACTTTGCGCATCTGGCAGGCATATCTGGGTGTCTAATCCAACTTGCTTTTGTACTGTTAGAGAAGCTGACTCTTTTTTACTAGGCTAGGGGTTAATTAGAACTGGTTAACTCGGATTTCTCAAGCTCTCAAACTAAAGCTTTGGTTTCATGCCAGTGATGTCCCAGAGTTTAATTCTTTCTCTATATATAGTTCGTGCGTAACTCTAGGAGCTTTCCGATAACTTTTTATTATGTGTGGGCCTTTGTACATCCCCTCCAGTCCAGATTAACTGTGGACTGGTAAAGAGAGGTAGGTTATGGTTGAATAGCCAATTTAGAAACTTAAGAATTGAAAGGAATTTCAAAGATAATTCTAGAGACACATTTCCTGACTCAGATAACTCGCAGGCTAGTTTGCCCGCATATTTATTGGGCAATGTTAATATGAATTGGCTGTTTAATGCTTAAGAATGTTAATCGATAAAGTACCACAGGGGCTAAGAATGTATCGCAGGGATAGAGAAGATCCTAGCTTGCATGAGGCTCAGCGCGTACACACCTCATACTATTTCACTTTTATTCACTTTATTTGTTAATGAAATAAAATGAATATACCCTGACATTATTAAGTTACAAAATAGTCGCCTTTATTTGCTAAGCAGGTTTCAATTTGCCAAAGGTTGTTGGTAGAATGCTGACTGATCCCAGGATCATCAGTTCACCTCTTTGTCAGGTGTAAAGTGGATTAAACACGGGGTTAGGTACCCGGTCTTCGGGGTGCATATAACTGTATATGAGAATATTATTATTAGTGCTGGGGGTTGGACCCAGGGCTTTATGTGTGCTACTGAGTTGTACATTCTGCCTCATAAATTAGCATTTTCCTATTGGAACAGGCATACACAGAAGTAAGTGTACATTCTCACAGTTACAGGCCACAGGACCACACAGCGTGACTGCGTTACAGATAGATAGGTGGTGCACAAATCTATGGTGCACCTTTTAAAAGTTGTGCTGGGGACCAAACTCAAGTGTTAGCGGGCTCTAGGCAAGACTCAAGTACTGAGCTATACCTCCAACCCCATGGTTCACTCTTAAGTTAAATTCAGGGCTTGGAAAGGTAGCTCAGATTCCACGTGACCTGAATTCCTTCCCAGCATCCATGTTGGGTCATTGACAGCCTTCTGTAACTCTTACCTCCAAAGATCCCAACATCCTCTTCTGATTTCTAGATGCACCTGCATATACATGACTGACTCTTATGTACACATACATAAAAATAAATCTTTAAAAATAACTTTAAAAAGCCAGGTATATTGGCAATTGCCTTTAATCCCAACACTCAGAAGGTGGATCTCTGTGAGTTCAAGGCCAGAACTACGCAGAGAAACCCTGCCTTGAAAAATGAAACAACAAAAAGCAAACAAACAAAAGGCTTAAAAAAAGAGAGAAACTAAAATTATTGCCCCTTCATTGTTAAACAAGTCAGTTACATGGATTAAATTTCTCATATAAAAGACAATTATGTACTTATAAGAAAAGTCCTCAAGAAATTCAGACACGATTACAGATTCTGTAATAGTTCAGCTGTTGACAGGTGTCCGCCACTCAACTCTAGGAAATGAGAAAGGAAAGGCTTGCTTTACATGAAGAGCATGTGTTTTCAACTGGAGTAGGAGGTGGAGTTCAGATGTAAACTGGCAGGGATGGGAGGAAGCCGGGCATTTCTGCACGTCCCTCACACGGGGTGGAAGGACTTGAGGAAGTGAGCACTCGTGAAGCTGCGTGTTGAAGAGCCTTTTACCGAGGGTCCTCTTCATGCTTGTATTTACACGTGTTGAATTTAGGGGTTGGAGGGCAGACAATCCCATCAGTGTGCTTGTTTTTTTGGTGGTTCTGAGAGCTGGACTCGGGCTCTTATATGTGCCATAACAGGGTTTACCACTCCTACATCCACAGCCCTTCCGTGAATGCTACTGAAGACTCCTAGCTTGGCTGGTCACAGTGATGAGAGAAAGGCAGATGAGAAGGGGTTAAAAACACAACAAACCCATTATCAAAGGCATGTCTGAGCGAGCTAGAAGCCAGTGGTGAGAGTACTCAGCGCGAGAGATGGGTGCTTCCAGGTTGATCAGTGGAGAACAAGCATCCGCTGAGTTTCGCGGAAGCTGTGTGAGAGGAGGAGGGAGTGAAGTGAGGCCTGTCAGCCTTCACCTCACAGCTCTGATTGAGGCTTAACAGTTGCCCGGGCAGGGGCCTACTCGAAGTTTTCTATCTCATAGACCACAGTGTTTGGACTGCCTGGTACAAAACAGCAGCCTTTATGCTTTTCCACAACTTGTAAATGTGAGCCTGCACGAGGGAGGCAGAGAGAGAAGGTACCACGTAAGCAGACACTTTCGGTGACTGGAGAGTCATCCGTTCAGGTTCCAGCTTTTGTTTGTGTACTGCGTGCTAGGCCCTGAACTAGCTTCTGACTCTGGGACTGTTGGGTTGTTGGAACAGTCCTGTCCAGTCGGAGGGAGGGATTTCATATCTGAAACACTAGAGAGCAGTTGTCTGTTCATGCTCTCAACCTGTTGCTGACAGGCGAAGACCTGCTGTCATCAGAGCTCCCTGGCACCCTGCAGTAAGGGCGGAGGAAGTTTCTCCAAGCGCTTGTGTTTGAATCTTTAACTTAGAATAAAGACAAACTGACTTAAGTTTAAAGAAAAAGTCTAAAGAATATCAAAATTGGTCTAGTCACAGCCGTTCCCCTGTTGTCTTTGTTTATCCTGCTGTCGGTCTATGCAGCGTTTCCGTCCTGGTTTTCTTTCTATTGGTACCGCTGTTCGTTTTCCTCTGTTCCCAGCTCACGGTTTCTTCCTCTCTGCCCCCTTTGGAGTATTTAAGTTCTTTTCTTTACCCGGTTCCCTCCCAACACTGCCCTGGTTACAAGTGGAAAACTCCTCCTTCCTGCTAGCAACAGTTCCTTCTCAGCAGTCTCAAGTGTGTTAGTTAGAATATGGACTCATTTCAGAAGACTTAAGAAAGTCCATCTGACGCCCCATGCTCAGTGTAACTCCTCTGGTGTTGTGGGGTTCTGCAGGATAAATCGGAGAGCCTAATAGTGTCCCCTGCTACACTTCTTTTCTCTACTGGGAATCATTTGATCCCTCTTTCCCTTTGTTCAGACTTGTTGGGAGAGGGGGAGGCCATTTCTAGTTTGTGCAGCAGTAGTAGGTTTGATCTCTCCAAGGCCTGCCTCCCGTTTTTGTAAGGAAGTAGTGTTGGAAATAGCGAGGGCTGATAGATTTGAGTTATGAACTTGGCGATAGTGGTAACTTGCTTTGTGACCTGTGACCAAGGCCTTATTCTGGGCCACTCAGCCCTCCCTAGTTGTGCCAAATGAAGGATTGGCTTGCCTGATGCCTCAGTCTCCTTGAGGTCTTGTTCAGGGTCACAAGGGTCACTAAGAATTGCATCCTGGCCAGCCTTGTAGGTCTACACCATTCCCCTTGGTAGCCCTTGTGAGGCTTGTTGCTGCCTGCCTGGTGGCAGCTGAGAGGAAGGTCCTTCACAATTACAGGTCTGGCTCTGAGAGCTCCTGACTCTAAGGACCCTGTGACAAAGAGAACAGTTTTCAAAATAGAGGACAAACTTAAAGGAGAAGGAAGTACTTGAAGCAGACGCTGCTCCAGCAGGGGTTAGGGGAGTCTGCCGCCTTCTGTCTGAGCGGGACTTAGGAAAGGGTCCGGGAAGATGGCTCAGTCAAGAAGAACCTGAGTTTGGACCCTCAGAACACAAATAGCAGCCAGGTGTGTTGGTGCATGGGGAGGAGATGGACCCTGGTGGAGCCTGGTGGCTTGCTCTCCAGCCAGTCTAGGAGAAACGGCGAGCTCCGGGTTCTGTGAAAGACCTGTCTCGGAAGAAGAAAACGTGGAGAAATGATGGAGGCCGGCATCCCTGAGCCGGCCTTTGTTCTCACACGGCCAGGTGGACCTCCATACACACATGTGCTTTAACACACTGAGCACTTACGTTAAATAACTTATGTGCTATTTAAGAGAAAAGTATGCCACGTGTGGTTAGTTGTGTCTTGGAAACACTGCAACAAGCAAGACTGCCTTGCTTGGAGAGCTAAATAAATGCTGCTAAATTTGATGCAGTTTTATATAATGTCTCATGCACGGGTGCTAGAAGATGATTGGATTATGCATTTTGGAAAGGACACAGAATATTTAAGAGGATAAATGTGCCCTCAGGTCAACTGTGGTCAGTGATTTATGCCTGGGAGAAAAATCCCACACAAGCAGGTTTGCACATAAAGCTAAATGGAGCTGAAGTTGACTTCTGGGTGAGGGGATAAAGCACTGGGTAGAGCATGGTGGCTCTGTAATCCTAGTGCTTGGGAAACCAAGATAGAAGGATTGTGAATTTGAGGTCTGCATGAGCTACACAGTGAGATCCTGTATCACACAGAATAACACCCTAAAAGGAGTTGGCACTAGAATTGAAGGCTGGAAATCCAGCTCAGAGATGGAGCCTCTGCTTGCCCCTTGTGTGCAATGCCCTGGGGTTGTGCCAAGGCCATAACAACCCCTCCCCTCCAAACAAAACAGACGTCTATTAAATGTGATCACAGAGCAAATGTAAATACTTTTTATTAAGTTATTTAAAGACTGCTTGTGATGTGAAAAACTTCTCAAGGAAAGCATGCTTCTTACGTAAAGAGCGGTTAAGCAGCACAGAAATTTATATGGTAAAAGTTGTCCTCTTTCCTTCCATCACTCCTACCAAACAGATGCTGTTGGTAACTGACAGCCTTCTGAC